GAACGCCATTGTTAAATAAGATTTTGCGCGATACGGATCGCTACGTGTAATAAGTTTAAATAAAAGTTATTTCTTAATAAAATTCTTGTTTTCTTTCGAAGAATAGAACATCATCATCATGACAATGGTGGTTCAGCATAATTTCCATTAGACTAACCTGAAAGGTATATTTCGAACCGGTGCGCACGCCAAGATGATCACCCCTCCTTCTCCGTTCCTCAAAATGACGAATTTCTTTGTGAAAGTTAGCAGACCGACGTATTTCTCCTTCCAAATAAAAACTGGTGTATCTGACGCAAGTGCAGAGCTGCCAGGTGGTTTTATAAAAAATCTGTATCCACTCTATTAAAAAATCTGTATTTTCTGTATTGATGATTTTTTTCTTAATAATCATGTTTTGTTGTTTTACAAATACAGTGCATACAAAATAACCATAAAAAGTGCTTAACCACCTATTCGGGCTATCGTACTAACCATACGGGATATAATTGCGCCATTTGTGATATCGTCCGTACTTATTTATAAGAGTGATATGAAGCCGTTTGAAAATGTATGGAGATTTTAGTTTCTATTCATTATCTTCCTGATAAGCAGTTTTAAATGCAAAAAAGTGCACGAGTTCATTACTATTTGATATTTTTAATATAGATGAATACAATTAATTACATCATTTGTGTGGTAGTTACACCGAAAAGTCGAGAGATGTCGCCCCGCCAGTGCTGGTAAAATCATTTTTGCAGTATGGAGAATATCAGAAAATCCGCAATTTCTTACGAAATACATTTTCAATGCAAGTAAAATGTTTACGAGTACTTGTATTTGTACCATTTTAATGTGCTCGGGCACTTTTCTTGTATTTAACATACATGCTTAAATTGGAAATATTCAATTAATACTGTAAATCCCCATACAATCTCAAATCGTTTACTACCAGCTCCATATGCATCCGAAAGCGGTTGGTCCTCTGGCTGTGAATGCTGTCAAAAACACCATAACATGATTAATTGTCGATGGAAATTTGATAGGTTCCCGAGCAGAGGGTGAGAACAAAATGAAAACAAGAATTATGTTGTTTTCATTATTCCTGATAACTCAAATTGATTTCATTTTGATGGAGTTGATGGCTAACAGAACAAAAATGAGAGCTAAAAGATAAGCGAAGAATATCAAAATTATAACATTTATTGATATTAGTGAGAACTGCTTGATAACTTATTTTGATATAGATTTTTTTTCTCAAGCATTTTATAAAAATCTGTATAAATCTGTATTGTAATTTAAAAATCTGTGATAAATCTGTATTCTATATCGGGTCTGTATTAAGATTAAAAAATCTGTATAATACAGATAAATCTGTATAAATGGCAGCGCTGCGCAAGTGTAAAACGAGCTGTCAAATCGACGCATCTCACAAGGTGTATATAACAACCAAGGTACTATAACGACGAATCAATCAAGGTGTATGTGGGAAGTTCAGAACCAAAAGGGTATATCTTTTAATTTTATCAAAATTGCTGTTAATGTATGCAAAAACCCAGCATTTTTCATGATAATCATAAACTACTATCCTGTATGTAACTTTTGGCAGCAACAGATCGTGAAAAATAACAAAAACTTTAAAAAGGGATTTAATAATATAGTCTGAATATTGCTACCCCATTTTTCTCATTTGTTGTCAAATGTTACATACGTCCTTTTGTAAAGATTTGCTTGTCTTTATTGATGCAGTACTGACATTTATAGCATACTAGGATTATTATAATTTCATCGAGTTGCTTCGATCTCCTTCACTCCTCCTCAAGCTCGGCGGGCGGTAGACCAATTTTCAGGCGCATCTTCTCCATCTTGACGCGAGCCAATGGTTTTGTTAAACCATCGGCAACCATTTGTTCACTGGGGCAATAGCAAACGTCCATCACACTATTGTTGACCAACTCCTTCACAAAATTATAGCGAGTGTCGATGTGTTTTGTTCGGTTACTACCGCCGGCAGATTTCAGCATCGCAATACAGCTTTGGTTGTCTTCGTGTACAACTACTGGAGCCAGAATTGGTTCTCCGACATCCTTCAGTAGCTTCATCAGCCGCATCAGCTCGCAGCTGGCTTCGGAAAGCGCCACGTACTCCGCTTCGGTAGACGAAAGAGTTACGCATGGTTGTTTTCGGGCTGCCCAACTGATTGGTCCTCCAAGACAGAAGACGAAACCGGTGTTTGATTTCCGGTCTGTCTTGTCACCAGCCCAGTCTGCATCGACGTATGCTTCCAGCGGTCCGGATGAACCTAGACGTAGGCTCCAATCCACTGTTGTTGACTGGAGATACCGGAGCGTCCGTTTTGCTTCGGCCCAGTCTGCTTCCGTTGGTCGACTCACCTTGCGGCCTAGAATAAATGGCGATGTCCGGTCTCGTGTGGACCGCGATGTATAGGCTCTGGAACTCGTCGTTTCTGGGCATGGGCTCCTCCTCCTTCTGCTGTACATTCGGGTACCCGGGATCCATCGGTATCGGCGAGCGCTTCGCTTTTGATTGTCCGAACCGTTCGGCTACCTTCTGGATGTAGGTTTGTTGGTTCAGGAAAAACTGTCTGTCGGATCTTGTCACTCGGATTCCAAAATAGTGTCGCACGTCTCCAAGGCACGTAATGGTAAAGTGCTCCGCTAAATGCTTCCGGACGGCTTCGTATTCCGCTTCTGTGTTAGTGACAATCAGCATGTCGTCCACATATAGTAATATGAACGTCTTCTTCTTCTTCTTTTTCTTCTTCCAGGTTTTTACGAACAGGCATGGGTCTGCTTCAGATGGCACGTAGCCCAGCTGCTGCAAGACTTCGGTGATTTTTTCATTCCACACCCTTTCAGCCTGCTTCAGACCGTAGAGACTTTTTCGTAGATGCAGTACGTTGTCCTTGACCCCGTTATGGAATCCTACCGGCTGCTTCATGAAAATGGTCTCCTCCAGCTCTCCGTGTAGGTACGCCGTCTTCACGTCGACGTGCTTCACCAGCATTCCTCGTCTGAAGGCGACACTCCGCAGGGTCCAAAAAGTGGTTTGCTTGGCGACTGGCGCAAAGACCTCATGGTAGTCGGTTCCGTATTTTTGATTGAATCCTTGCGCTACCAGCCTGGCCTTATAGCGGATCAGGTTTCCGCCCTCGTCCATCTTTTTCGTGAATACCCATTTGCTGCCAATAGCCTTCTTGTTTGGCGGCAAACGGACGACATCCCATGTGGAATTCTCTTCATGCGCCTTCATCTCTTCCTCCATCGTTGCTTCCCACATGTTGCGCTCGGGGCTAGCCATTGCTTTTTCGAATGTGCGTGGCTCGTCGACATATTGCGCTGCTATGCGCACGGTGTCTTGGTACCGTTCTGGCGGGATGCCCTTTGTGGTACGCTCCGATCGTCGGACTACTGGTACATCAACTTCGCCGACGACGTCTTGCTCCTCCTGATAGTCGGATGTCTCAAGCTCCTCCTGCGCTTCTGTTTCCACAAACGTCTCCTCATTGGCATCGTCGTAGCTGGTCTCAAATCCGAGTAGATCTGACTCATCCGATACGTCCACGCTCTCGTCCTCGTCGCACCCGAGTAGATCGAACTCATCCGATTCGTCCTCGCTCTCGTCCACGTTTGCTGGAATAACGGAGACCTCAGCTTTCGGTTGCTCTAGGAGTCTAAATGGATACTCAACGATACTTCCCTTCTGAGGTTCGGCACTCCGAACCTTGTCCAATGGCAGGAACCTGCAGTCCCGACTGACGGTCAGCTTGTCGTTGTTCGGGTTTATGAATCGGTACGCCTTGTGTTGGGAGGAATAACTTCCGAGATTTCGCTTCTAATTTGCTTCTCTTCTCTCCAGGGATCCACACGTACGCCGGTGAACCGAACATCTGGAGGTGGCTCATGTCCGGCTTCGTGCCATACCACAGCTCGTACGGCGTTTTCTTCAACGGCTTCGTCGGCAAACGGTTTTGTAGATAGTTCGCACCGTTAACCGCTTCCGCCCAGTATTTCAACGGCATTCGGGAGTCCAGTAGCATGCAGCGCGCCATTTCCACCAGTGAGCGGTTCTTCCGCACCGCAACCCCGTTCTGCTGCGGAGTGTAGGCGGTGGTAAATTGCTGACGTATCCCTTGCGCTCGGCAGAACGCATCCAACACGTCACTCCGAAATTCACCTCCCTGGTCGGAACGAATGATCTTCGGGGTTTTTCCAAATTCCGTCTGGGCGAACTTGACGTACTCTTGAATACGCTGGGAAACCTCGTACTTCTGCTTCAGGAAATATACGACAGTAAACCGGGTGAAGTCGTCAATCATGGTGAGAAAATAACGACACCCACCGGGTGTCACGGTTCGCATGGGTCCACACACATCGATGTGAATAAGGTCCAATGGTTGCTTGGACTTTGGCTTCGACTGCTTGGGAAACAGAAGACGTGTCAGCTTGCCCTCAAGACAGTATTCACAGATGACTCGGCAGCCGCACTCTTCCATCTCGATTCCAGTTGCCATACCCTTGTTCACCACCTCACGGATGGCTTCATGGTCACGATGCCCCAACACACGGTGCCAAGTGTGCTGACAGTTTGACGTATGGTGCTTCACGGTCAGTGCTTCCTGGGGTACCTTCAGGGAGTACAGTCACCCAGAAATCGTTGCTGCCGCAATCACCGTCTTGTCCTTCAAGATTCGACATCCGTTGACGTCGAAAATGACCGTAGCTCCGTTTGCCGTCGGCTTCTTCACGGAAACCAAGCTCGATTCGAAATTGCTTCGATCTCCTTCAAATTTAACTTGATTTTTCATTTACAACCAAAAAATATCCGTTTGCATTGTTCAGTCAGATGACACATTGTTCTAAGAAAAATTGCAGAACAGGAGATTTTTATCAGTGGGTCCAATCTTTAGATCCGTAGAGCCCTTTCTTCTACCTGCTGAAATTCGCTTCGATCAATTCGATGAACCAAAAACTCATCTCCCTTACCTTTATCACCCCTAGCTCACGAGAAACTCCAAGCGCCACTGCAAATACTCAACTGCATGGCCGTGGAGAATGGACCGACACTGCTACCCGTGCGAGACTACTTCATGCAGGTGTTCGTAAAGGAACAGGAATCCACGCACCACGACGAAGAACTTGCGCGCAAGTACAGTGAAGAAACGACATCGATCAAGAAACACATCAAACACCTCCAGGAGGGCAATGTGGAATTCCGCAACACGGTATGCGATACCTGCAAGCAACCCCTATCATGGCCGGCCCTGTTCTTCCTTTGCAAGCATTCCTATCATCAAGAGTGAGTAGAAACTGTCTTTCATTGACCACGCATCACCTCACCACCATCTTTCGTACAGTTGCATCCGCGGTTACTCCGAAACGGAACGGGACTGTCCGGTGTGCAATAAAAAGAACATCCAACTGATGGACACCTTGCGCGCTCAGAGCGAATCTCGTGGTCAGCACGAGGCGTTTCACAACTTGTTGGATCGATCGTCGGAACCGTTCTCCGTCGTGGCGGAATACTTTGGTCGGGGCTTGTTTAACAAACTGCTAATCGTCGAGGAGCAGATTGCTCAAGTGGAGGTGAGTTTTGGCTTTTGTGTAAGATTTAGCATGTTCTTTGATACTATGTCCCGTGATGTTTATGTAAAAGGTTCGATTCAAGGTTGAGCCGAACGAGTCAATAGCGTTAGCGTTGTTCCTTTGAAAAATGACAATGGAATTGCTCTGAGGACCATCAGTTTTATACCTAAATGAAAAGCAACCTTTAAATTTGGATCATCCATTCAAATCGCATTTCATGCTTCATTCCAGCCAATGCCCACCCCGGCGGACACCGGCATTCGCCAGCTAACCAAACAGACCGAACAGATTCGAATCACCGACGTGGCAGCCTCGAAAAACACCCAGCTCAGCTACGGTCCCGGTGCCGAAGCTCGAATACGCCAGGAGGAAGGCCAGCGCACGCAGATGCGCATGGAAATGCAGGAGAGCGAAATGCGCCTGCGGTTGATGGAACAGGAACGTATCCGCCAGCGCCAGCAGGCAGCTCTGCTAGCTCAACAGCAGCTCCGGTTGAGAGATGAACGCAGTCCCAAACGATCGCCTTATGGCAGTCCAAAGCCACCCTCAACGCTGTCGAATTATCCCTCCCAGGGGGTTAAACAACCTTCACCAGTGCCACCAGCTGCTAGTAATCCCTTCGGCGAGGATGATGATATGTCCGGCTATGACAGCGCTAAGGATCCATTTGCTTCGGATGATCCCACGCCAAAGAAGGCGGCGGTGGCGGATGCTACGAATCCGTTCGAGGCCTACGACAGCAGTTTAGATCCGTTTGCAGAGTAGATTTCGGTGTGTAGGTATGTTGTAGAATGGTAAATGTTGCTCGTGATATCAAACTGATTATTCCAATTAAAGATCGAGAATCGACATTTACGAAAGTGTGTATCTATTAGATATTAATGCCATCTTGAAAACAAAAGTTTGAAGTGTTCATTGTGTTGAAATAATAATAGGCTTATCGAGATTGTAATCTGTAATAAACTTCTCTTTAATTATCAACTTATGCACACGTGATTCGATTTGCAGGTAGCTTCTGGGATACGAAGTTGAGAGGCAGAAAATGATGAGAACATCCGGATAGAATCGCGAATCGAATCATTCAGGACAAAGGGCACGCAACTAAAGAGAGGTAGGTTATACATTTAACAACTCATTAATCCTGAACGAGGTCGAATTATTTTATGCAAAGGGAATACCATTGCTCAGGTCAAGGAAAACACAACATTTGATTTTTAACTTGAGGAAAACAATAAAAAGTTACTAGTGAAAGTATGTTTCTTAATAGGTATGTAGTTCAAAATCTAGCTTTGAGATCTTGTTGAGAGCGCTGCCTTGAATGCGCTGATCGTTGTCTGGTGTCGTGTTCATAGAGGGATCTAGTTCCAGATGATTGCACCTGCGATCATCACACTCTTCTTCTTCGATGTAGTGTGACGGGGAATCGCAAAGCAACGCGTCCGCTCAAGCTGTCCTCTTCTCAGGTGTTGCTACAGACAAGGAGGGAAAGTTCCAGCGTACCCCTGGCGAATAAAACAGCAAATTCTATTCCGTGCTGATGACAGTCTAGGATAGTAAGTGACGTCACAGTAGGTAAAAAACAGCACGAACACTGCTTGCACCAATTTTATTCGGGTTTAACTGACAAAACTGGAGCGAATCTTCGGAGCGCCCGCAACGTTCCAAAAACGTTGGCCGTTATATAGTTCACATATCCGTTCCACTTCAGATTACGATCCATCTTTAGACAAAGATTCACTACTTTGTCTGACAAAAGAATGTGTTCTCCACAGAAAACGATGTTTGTGGCTGGTGCTACCGCCCCTTCTTTGCAAAAAATATTAAAGGTCTGTGTCCTAGACACGACCGCAGTATGACGTAGAACTACGCAAAATGGATGTATGTCATGCATTTTGACTATTTTTGCTTTATATTAAATTTTTCAAGTATTTCAATGTTTCGGTTATGGTTCAATGTTGGTTCAAGTATTTTTCCTGGAATGTAATAAATTATGAAAATTCGAATGTGCGGATTTGCTAGCGCTTGTGTACTAGCCAACTAGCACATGCTGATAGACGCTGATGCCCTGCTTACATCTCCTTGGAGACCGAACGTCACCCCTAGCAACCTAAGTTTTCTTAAATAAACAACGGTGAAAAACTTTTCATTCCTGTTCAAGACTCCACTCAAGCTAGTCGTATGATATTTAGTATGGTGAAAGACACAAAAATCTCAAAATATGAGTAAAAAATTTATGACCGACAGTGAAGAAGAGGATGCGGATTTTTCCGCCAGTGAAGATGAATGGCTACCGAAAAATGACAAACCCGGACGCGGTTCAAAGACGGCTTTGGGGAAAGGATCATCTTCCGGTGCGTCCGAATCAGATGATGGTGAAAGCGACGAAGGTGGCGAACCGAAGGGTGGTGGAAGACGCTCCCAAGCGCAAAAGGGGCAGGCGACAGATGCCAGGTATGAATGGAAACCAGTTTTTTTTGGGTGTTCAAGGTCATCCAAAAATGAGATTTTGTTACCTGAAAAGGGTTGCTTTTGTGTGTCGTTTTAGGAAATCACGCGCTCCACCAAAACCGAAACTATCAACATCGGAGCGTAAGAAATTGTACGAAAAGTATCGCCCCTCAGCTGGCAGCAAAGTTGGCAGAAAAACAGGAAAATCAAAGCCGCTCAAGAAAAAGAAAGAAGAAGATTCCGATTCTGATTGGGAAGAAGTAGAAGAGAAGGAGGAAAACCAGCCTCTGCATGACGTACAAATAACACTGGATGTTGGACCGACAAATGTTCAGAGGAAGAAACGGAGCAATGAAATCGATATTGAAGCATGTATCGAGCGGTTTTTGAATCGCAAGAAGCGTGAGATTCAAATCACCCTCCACAAAATTGACATTGAGATGGCCATTGCCGACGGAAACTTCGTGAACGGCGTTTTGAACAACTCTAAACTATTATCGCTGGCTTTGACGTTGATTCCGTCGCAAAAATGTTATCCAAAGGATAGAACAAACCTAGAATACTTTGAACAGATTACGAAATTTTTCAAAGAAATCGTAGATCTCAAAGGAAGACGAATGTTCTGTCGCTTCAAAAAGCTACCGTCATTGGAGACATCACTTCGCCTGCAGATGTTGACTAAGGCCGCCATCTGTAAGCGTGATTACGTTTTGATATTTATAATTCTACTTCGCGCAATTGGCGTCCAGTGTCGCATGGTCATGTCCTTGGCTGTAGAACCGAAGAAGCTACCACAGAGTGAACTACAGCAAACGCAAGTTACAGTGGTAAAGAAAGCAAAAAAGGATATCGACTCGGAAGCAAAATCAACCGCCACCAGTATTAGTAAGGGGTCAAAGAAAAAATCAACCAAGGAAGACCACGATTATGCCGATGACGGTAATAGTGGAGCGAAGAAGGAGCGTTCTAAGCGGAAGGCAGCAACTGGGAGCGCCCTTAAAGTTCTTCAACTTGACGGAAATGACGATTCTTGTGGCGGCGTACCGAGTAAGAAATCCAAGCTGGCACCCTCGACAGGTCAAGCCGACAGTTCGAAGGACAAGCCATCTCCGGGACCAAGTACTTCGAAGGTGAGTGAGAATTTAATCTAGATTGGACATTTGATTCTGGAGATATCATCTAAATACGAGAATGAATGAATATTAGATTGATAGTAACCTTTTAAACACCGACGTTGCAACGGTAGGAAAATTAAACATGTTTCTTATTACTTTCAGGCTGCCATTCCCAAGCTGCAGGAAGTTTCTGTGTTCTCGCCGAGAAAAACACGGAAGCAACGTCAAGAACAAGCCAACGGTTCCCCGAGTTTCTCCGAAATCTCAAAGCCTAATAACCCAAAGCGAAATAGCAATCCACCTGTCGTCGCAGTACCCTCCACCACTTCATCTATTTTGATCAGGAAGGACTATAAAGACAAACCAGTGAAGAATATTATCGATAAGAAGAAGACATCCACTAAAGGGGTTAAACCTTCTAATACAACAGCAATTAATTCAAAAGTAAATCAAAGCAATACGCAAACGAAGAATGCAACACCGAAAGCTACAAAACCGAAACCAGAACCGGTCAAAGCACCGACAGTGGAAAAATCTAAATCCAAATGTAAAGAAAGTCCCAAAGTTCTTAAGGTGGAAATCTTTGACAAGAAACTCAAAAAACGGCTGGACCGTCGAGTGCTTTCAACGGACGACGAATTTCGCAAAGATCCAGACAACAAAACCAAGCTCAAATCCGGCGTCAATCTGTGGATCGAGGTGTACGCCGAGGAGGAGGAACAATGGGTCCCACTCGATGCCGTGGGTAGCAAGGTCCACTGCCTGGAACACATTGTGAAGCAGGCTTCGTCTCCACTGGTCTACATCCTCGCATGGAACAACGACGGCACAATCAAAGACGTTTCCCCGCGTTACTGTCCGAACTATGCTACCAGCACCAAAAAGCTACGTATCAAGCAGGAGTGGTTGGACAAAACGTTGGCCGAGTTCAAGGGGAAGCGAACGGCCAAGGATATCGAAGAGGACCGTTCTCTGAATCAGGCACTGATGGAGCAGCCTCTACCAACGACCATCAGCGAGTTCAAGAATAATCCGCTCTACGCCTTGAAGCGACACCTGCTGAAGTTTGAAGGAATCTACCCGCCGGATGCTCCGACACTTGGATTCATCAAGGATGAACCCGTTTACGCGAGGGAATGCGTACAGACGCTACACTCGCGGGAAATTTGGCTGAAGCAGGCGCGAACGGTGAAGATGTTCGAAACGGCGTACAAGGTGGTCAATGCCAGGCCCAAATACGATCGGGTAAGTTTGTTCCGGGTCACGAACCAAACGGTAATAGTTTGACTCTTCTGACTTTTTCTTCAGGCCTCCAGTCAAATGCTTCCGGCTCAGCCGCTGGAACTTTTCGGCTACTGGCAAACTCAGGACTACGAACCTCCTACGGCGGAAGACGGCATCGTTCCGAGGAATGCCTACGGCAACGTGGAACTTTTCAAACCGTGCATGCTCCCGAAGAAAACCGTTCATCTGCAATGTGAGTATTTTAATCCTGGAGTAACGCGGTGTGCTTCATATTTGCATATGAATCATTTGTTTTTAATGCCATAAAAAACTTCCCCAGCGAAGAGTGAAGATTTCCTTTTGAACTGTCTCGCACACTAGTTACATGTTCAGCTTGCACTGGAATATGTGTCACGACGAGACCCCTCATCGCGGCGGCGCTGCAAACGCTACGGCCCTGCATTTACGGTGAATCAAATGACAGTGGGAAACGTCACCGGTGCAACTTAGAATAACGTCAAACGAAAAGAGGAAGAACAAACACGAAGAACAAAAGTTGACATAGTTGTTGATCTATTATTATCCTTATTCTAGTATTCTACTTATCTAATATACACATTATTTGCCGTGTAGTGCTTAAATCTAATCATAAATTATAAACACTGTAAGAACGGATGAAATTAACGGAAATTGAACTTAACGCTAGTATTAAATTAAAATTATAGTACGGTCTAAATTGAAGAAGTAGAGTGGGAATTCGAGCCATACCACTTCCAGAAAAAGTACACCAAATTTGTAAGTCTTAAAATTAATAAGTTACGCATCTTTACTGAAATAAACTCTAAATTGCAGCTTTAAGCTATCACAAACACAACTCACGAAGTGTAGCTATAAAGAGTTGGTAAACGCATCCCAACATTCTTAAAGAAATTTGTTTTGGGTATCGGAAGTATGGCAGATGAAAACTCCCCTCGGAACTGCCAGGCATGCGAGCGAACGGATTCAGCAGAGAGTGAGATGGTCCAGTGCGACGTGTGCAAACACTGGGAGCACTTTGGCTGCGCAGGTGTAGATGAGGAAATCCGGCAGCCGAACGCCACTTATGTATGCAGACGATGTTCGAAGCAGGGCAAATCCAACGATGATCATCTGAAAGTTCCCGTTGTCCAACCACGTTCTTCTAAAGGATCTAAGACGAGTTCAAAAGCGAGCTCTAGAAGGGGAAAGAAGAATCCCAACCCGCCGGGAAGTACGACTTCCAGCGTTCGGGCTGCTTTGCTGGCAGAACAGTTTAAGCTCGTCGAAGAAGAACAGAAGATGGAAGAGCAAGCACTACTGGAAGAGGAAGACATCAGGAAACGTATGTTGGAGGAAGCAGAGCGTCAGATGGAGGAGGCGAAACAAATTCGTGAGCTCAAACTGCAGGAGGAATTGGAGCTGAAGCGCAAGCAGCAGGAAATCAGGAAGGAATCTTTCGAGAAGCGACAAGCTATTCTTCGTCAGATGGCAGAAACTAGCAGTAGAGGTGGCTCTGTAATAAATTCAGACCAAAGGGTGAAAGATTGGCTAGACGAACAGGACGCTGAAAGATCAAATGGAAATCGGTTTGGGAAAACGAAACACCCCAATTTGAATCCGACTCCCGCCGACTCAGCGGATCTCCCCATTCCTCGGCTGCCATCAATATCGCTGAATTCAATCCATCCAATGCCAAGTTTGGATGCGCCAGCTCCACAGGATTTTCCACCTCAATTGCCACAGCCTCCAGCCCCAACCCCCACTCCACAGCATCTTCCCGTTCCTATATCGGAGCCTCCAATTCCAGCACCTGCTTACCCCATTCCAACGCCACAGCCTGCGCCGACAGTTCCCGTTTCCTCTGTTCGCACACTATCGCAGGTGCAAATTGCAGCACGACAGGTTTTAGGAAAAGACCTACCATTATTTAGTGGAAACCCGGAGGATTGGCCCATTTTCTTCAGCAACTATGAACAGTCTACTGCTACCTGCGGTTACTCGGATGCGGAAAACTTGGTTCGCCTTCAGCGATGCTTGAAGGGAAACGCCCTGGAGTCGGTGAAAAGTCGATTACTTTTGCCAGCAAGTGTACCGCACGTCATCCAGACCCTGCGTACTCTTTTTGGAAGACCTGAGCTCCTCATTAAATCGTTGCTGTTCAAAATACACCAAATCCCTCCACCGAGACACGATCGCCTAGAGACCATCATGCACTTTGGCCTAGCAGTGCAAAATCTGGTGGATCACCTCAAAGCAGCGCAGCAGGCAAACCACCTTGCAAATCCGGTTCTTATGCAGGAATTGGTGGAGAAACTGCCTGGCTCGTTGCGACTCGATTGGGCAATGTACAAGAACCAACACCCACCTGCGACTCTCGACACTTTCGGTGAGTTCATGTCGGGGTTGGTAACAGCAGCAAGCGAAGTTTCCTTCAACCTCCCAGGACTTGGTTTTCAAAAGCTCAGCATGCAGACAGAAACCCGCAGCAACAGGCCGAAGGGGGGAAACACGGGTATTCTACAAGCTCACTCCACGGATCAAACATCAAATCTCACCTCCAGTAGTATTACCAGTAACACGAAACCTGCCAAGCAATGTCTATCGTGTGGTCGAGTCGGTCACCGAGTGTTCGAATGCCAGCAATTCAACGGTGCCAGCGTGGATGAACGTTGGAAGCTAGTTCAGTTAAAAGGGCTCTGCAGAACGTGCCTGAACAGTCACGGCAAATGGCCTTGTAGGTCTTGGAATGGCTGCGGTATCAACGGGTGTCGTCAACGGCACCATACTCTACTGCACTCCATCACATCTCCCGAGAGAATAAATACAACATCTAGCCACGTCACGTCACGTAATTTCCAGTGGCCACTTTTCCGAATTGTTCCCGTTATTCTATACGGCAACGGTTCCTCCCAAACTATTTACGCCTTTATAGACGAAGGTTCGTCGTACACATTGTTGGACGAAACTGTAGCAACGGATCTGGGCGTCAGTGGGAAAACAGAGGCACTTACCTTGAAATGGACCGGAAACGTGACACGGGTCGAACCCAAATCACAATGTGTGCAGTTCGATATCTCCGGTAAGAGCACTCATTCTCGATACACACTTTCCCATGCTCGCACGGTAAGCCGCCTGGTGCTGCCAACTCAAAGTTTGAAATATCAAGATCTTGCTAATCGTTTTCCACACTTGCGTGGCCTCCCGCTCGAAGATTACGAGTTAGTTCAGCCCAAGCTACTAATTGGTCTAGACAATCTCCGACTATGCGTTCCACTAAAGCTGCGGGAAGGAGAGTCAACCGATCCTATCGGTGCGAAATGTCGATTGGGTTGGAGTGTATATGGATACGTCCCACATCGATCGACCCAGTCAGCGATTATTGGGTTTCACGTCGCAACAGTTCCTGATCGTGATCGTGAACTAAATGATCAACTACGTGACTATTTCACTCTAGAAGATGCTGGAGTTACCGAAACACGAGAAGTTCTGGAATCGACTGACGAGAAACGTGCGAAGATGCTGCTGGAACAGACAACACGACGTACGCCTGACGGACCGAACTTCGAGACCGGCCTCCTATGGAACACTGATAATCCAAACTTTCCCGATAGCTACCCCATGGCTATCCGGCGTCTAGAGTCCCTAGAGCGTCGGCTTCAACGAGAACCAATGCTGCGAGAGCGTGTGCGTGAACAAATCTCCGAGTACGAAAAGAAAGGTTATGCACACAAAGCTAGTCTGGCCGAATTGACTTCCGTCGATGCCAATCGTGTGTGGTACCTTCCTTTAGGCGTTGTCATCAATCCCAGAAAGCCTGAAAAAGTGCGGTTGATCTGGGACGCGGCAGCAAAGGTAGGCGACGTATCCTTTAACTCCAGACTGCTCAAGGGTCCTGACCTACTGACACCGCTTCCGATGGTGTTATACCAGTTTCGCCAATACCCCGTAGCAGTGAGTGGTGATGTCATGGAAATGTTCCATCAGTTGAAAATTCGCTTCCCTGATTGTCAATCGCAACGCTTCGTATTCCGTGAAGACTCGACCGACCTCCCATCAATCTACGTTATGGATGTAGCAACTTTCGGATCGTCCTGTTCTCCGGCATCGGCGCAGTACGTGAAAAACATCAAGGCAGACGAGTTTGCTAACGACTATCCAAGAGCAGCAGCAGCAATCAAGGAGAGGCATTATGTCGACGACTACTTGGACAGTTTCCCGACGATCAAAGAGGCAATTACATTGGTTAACGAGGTTAAACTGATACATTCCCGTGGGGGCTTCACCCTCCGCCGCTTCTTGTCAAATGAACCCGAAGTCTTGCGAGGAATTGGCGAGCTGGCTGAACTGGACTCTAAGAGCCTACATCTGGAACGCGATGGAAAGTGTGAATCGGTGTTGGGGATGAAGAGGATGCCTAACGAAGATGTATTCGTTTACACATTCAGCACAAGAGATGATCTGCAGCGTATTCTACATAGCGGCCACATTCCTACCAAGCGAGAGGTAGCAAGGGTGGTTATGAGTCTGTTCGATCCACTCGGCCTCGTTGCATTTTTTCTGGTTCACGGTAAAATGTTGATCCAAGAGCTTTGGGCAAAAGGGACAGAATGGGACCAAGAAATTCCGCAGGACATCAATGAACGCTGGCGACAGTGGGCTGATCTTTTCCAGGCGTTAGACCTGCTGCGCGTACCGCGGTGTTATTTCAACTTATCCAAGGACTTCGCCCGTTTACAAATCCATCTCTTCGTCGACGCGAGTGAGGCCGCATATGCCTGTGTGGTGTACTTTCGCTTGGAGACTGATCGTGGTACAGAGGTGGCTCTTGTTGGTGCTAAGACCAAGGTTGCACCGCTGAAGACGCTCTCAATTCCTCGACTTGAACTTAAAGCGGCTGTCCTTGGTGTCCGATTAATGGAGACGATTCAAAAATACCACTCGTACACGATCCACCAGCGCTACTGTTGGAGTGATGCCAGCACTGTGCTCGCGTGGGTGCGCTCAACCGATCATCGACGTTATCACAAATTTGTCGCCGTTCGAGTCGGTGAGATTTTATCATCAACGCAGCAGTCGGAATGGCGGTGGGTTCCGTCCAAACTAAATGTGGCAGATCTGGCCACTAAGTGGAACACTGGACCACAAGTGACGACCGAGAACCCTTGGTTCCAAGGACCGGCCTTCCTATACCAGCCTGAGGAGCGCTGGCCTGTTCAACGTAAGGTTACTTCAACTGAAGAAGAACTCCGACCTGCTCACTGTCATGTCGTCCACTTCGTTCCAAACATGAATTTCGAAAGATTCGATCGATGGATCAAAATGCAGCGGGTAGCTGCGTACGTGTTTCGCTGTATTGATAATCTACGTAGAAGTATAACCAAAGACAATTTGGAACTCGGCAATCTAACCAGCAACGAACTCAGAAGAGCCGAAGAAGCACTTTTTAAAACAGCTCAAAGTGAGTACTACGCCGATGAAATCGTCATCCTCGTCAAGACCCAAGGGCCTCCTGATAATCGGCACGCCCTCGTAGACAAATCCAGCACAATCTACAATAAATGTCCGTTTCTGGATGAGAAGGGTATCCTACGCAGTCGTGGTCGAATCGGTGCGGCACCGTATGCACCGGCCGAAGCTAAGTTCCCCATCATCCTACCCAAACAACACCTAATTACTTTCCTTATTGTAGACTGGTATCATCGCCGCTTCCGTCACGCCAACCGAGAAACCATATTCAACGAGATTCGTCAACGCTTTGAGATCTCATCACTAAGAAGGCTCTTGGATAAAGTCGCAAATGCTTGTGCATTCTGCCGCCTAACGAAGGCGATTCCAAGACCACCAGCAATGGCTCCGCTTCCCGAGATGCGCCTGACAGCTTTCGTTCAACCGCTCACGTTCACCGGGGTGGACTACTTCGGGCCAGTACTGACCAAGGTGGGTAGGAGCAGTGTGAAACGTTGGGTGGCCCTCTTCACATGTCTCACAATTAGAGCGGTACACATGGAAATCGTGCATTCACTAAGTACGGAGTCGTGCATTATGGCTGTTCAACGCTTCGTGGCACGCAGAGGCAATCCAAGAGAGTTCTGGACCGACAATGCCACCTGTTTTCAGGGCACTAGCAACGAGCTGAAGGCGCAAACGGATGCCAAAATCAAGGCCCTCTCGGAAAGGTTTACAACCGCCGAAACTGCTTGGAAATTCATCCCACCAGCGGCACCACACATGGGCGGTGCATGGGAGAGGCTCGTCCGGTCCGTAAAAGTAGCAATTGGAGGCTTGCTTAACGGTCCACGAAAACCAGACGACGAGACATTGGAGACAATCCTTCTGGAAGCGGAGGGGATGATCAACTCCAGACCGCTTACCTACATCCCTCTGGAGTCGGCAGACCAGGAGGCCTTGACACCCAACCATTTTTTGCTGGGCAGTTCTTCTGGGTCCAAGTTCCTACCCACCGAGCAGTTAGACTATAGGTCAACCCTTCGAAGCAGCTGGAAGCTAGCTAGGTATATCGCTGATGATTTTTGGTGCAGGTGGCTTAAGGAGTACCTTCCTGTGATCACACGGCGATGCAAGTGGTTCAACGATGTAAAAGATCTGGCAGTAGGCGATTTGGTTCTGGTCGTTGGCGGAACGGCGAGGGACCAGTGGAAACGTGGACGTATCGAGCAGGTGTTTCCCGGCAGGGACGGTAGAGTGCGCCAAGCTCTTGTGCGTACATCTTCGGGGATTCTACGAAGACCAGCAGTGAAGTTAGCTGTACTGGACGTCGAGTTTAACAGTAAACCCGGGTTCGGTACCCCAGAAGTTTCGAACCCTCACCAAGGTTTACGGGCGGGGGTATGTCACGACGAGACCCCTCATCGCGGCGGCGCTGCAAACGCTACGGCCCTGCATTTACGGTGAATCAAATGACAGTGGGAAACGTCACCGGTGGAACTTAGAATAACGTCAAACGAAAAGAGGAAGAACAAACACGAAGAACAAAAGTTGACATAGTTGTTGATCTATTATTATCCTTATTCTAGTATTCTACTTATCTAATATACACATTATTTGCCGTGTAGTGCTTAAATCTAATCATAAATTATAAACACTGTAAGAACGGATGAAATTAACGGAAATTGAACTTAACGCTAGTATTAAATTAAAATTATAGTACGGTCTAAATTGAAGAAGTAGAGTGGGAATTCGAGCCATACCACTTCCAGAAAAAGTACACCAAATTTGTAAGTCTTAAAATTAATAAGTTACGCATCTTTACTGAAATAAACTCTAAATTGCAGCTTTAAGCTATCACAAACACAACTCACGAAGTGTAGCTATAAAGAGTTGGTAAACGCATCCCAACAATATGACCGCCTTGCAATAAACTAATTCGATTTTTGTTTTTCAGTGCCCAGTTTGAACCGAATTTGCAAGAAGCTGGGCATCGATTGCGCTCAAGCCGTGACCGGGTTCGATTTCCACGGCGGATGCAGCCATCCAGTGTACGACGGGTTCGTAGTTTGCGAGGAGTTCAAGGACCTGGTGTTCGACGCCTGGTACCAGGAGCAGGAGCAAGAAGAGAAACGAGAACGCGACAAGTACGAGAAGCGGGTCTACGGCAACTGGAAGAAGCTTATCAAGAGATTGCTGATTCGTCGGAAGCTGCAGAATAAGTACAATTTCGACAATCTCACTGGGTAATTGGATCCCATCGAGTGATCTAAATGGCATGCTCGGCTGATGATTTTTAAGTGTCGGAGTAGTTCGTAAATGTTCTTACGTTGATGCATCTTGTCTAATTAAAGATTACTACATTCGACTGAAATCACTATTCATTAGAAAGAAAAAGATCTCACGGTGGCCATCATTTGCAAAAAAAAAAATCAGTATCGCTGTCTAACACCCACCAAACGAAATCTTTGACTGCCCTATCTACCTACAATCGAGCTCCTAGATCGTATCCATTGTCACAAGGTTTCGGGATCGACTTTCAGACATCTGTTAGGAGCCTCTGATAGCTCAGTTCACTCAGTTAAAGACACGGTGTGCATTGGATCCATTTAGAAGATGCTGAATTTTTTAAGGCCTAATATTTTTTCTTTAAAATTCCATTATCCTTAATTTCGTAAAATATGCATGTACCAGTAGCCAGTGAACCATAGAGGGCTTACATGGTCGTATAACTCGAAAGAACTAGTCATATTTTGAAAAAGGATAAATCTGGTCTCTCATCTTCCTGATCATTTCTTCAGTCTGAGATCCTAAATTTGTCAAAAATCTTTCAAGTTTGAAATCTCGACAAATTAAAAATTATACCAAATTTAAGAATTTGTCTAAGTCCAAGATTAAAAAAAATCTAAGGCTAGAATATTTAAAAAGGAAGTCTCAGATACTTTTTTTAAGTTCGCGATTTCAGAATCTGCTTGATGTTCGACATCTAGAATATTTCTGTTAGTCCCTAGAGAATTGGTTTGCTGATTCCTCTAGGGATTCATTCTACATTTTTAGTTGATTCTTAATGACACTCACAAGAATTCACTTAAATTTCTTTCAATATATTGCACAGAATCCCCTTTAAAACTATCGTAGATATATCCTTAGAATTCCCTTGCAAATAACCTCGGATTCGCTTTAGAATTATTCTAATTATGTCCTTCCTCTTCTGTGGCTTTATTACGTCTTTACTGGGACTTCATGCCGGACCTCAACTTAGTGTTATTTGAGCACTCCCGCAGTTGTTAATTGACAGCTCTTTCTAAGTCTGTACCATTTTTACATTAGTGTAAGCATACTGTATGTCCAGGTAAGTCGAAAAAATGTTCAACCCCAAACAAACCTAAACTGAGCCGGTAATTGAACCTAGCCGCCTCAAGCATGGTTTTGCTTTATAACTGCGCCGTTACCGACTGAGCTAAGGGAGGCCTAAGGTCCTCCAAATTATCCTGACAATTTCCTCGAAATGATCCTCGGAATTGTTTTGAGATCCTCCTGAGAATACCTTTGGCACTACTCTCAGAACTCTGGATCTGGGACGCAACAACACAGCGCTTCAGAAGCCTCTGATCCCTCCGAACCAGTCGAGCTGTTTGTAGATCTAATCATCAGAAGTCGTCCTGGCCCTGGTTTTGAAATCGGTGACGAGGTCTTCCAGCCTGTACTTACAGGCAAGTATCGATACGTTCCAAAACCTTCTTTTTCTGAGCCACCTTCCGCTTCCAGCAGCGAATACTTAACGCAACATCCAACCTCGCCTTCTGAAAACGACGTAGTAAGCTCGATGTCTTCTGAACTCTGGATGAACCAATCTGTTTTGCAACCGGGACGCATCGTGGAAAGCTTTATGGAAGCCCCCGGTTCCTCTAACTCAGTCGTGCTTATTCCTGTCAGCGTTCATCATAGTCGTCCTGGCCCTGACTTTAGATGTGGAAGACCCCCATTCCAACTTGCTAGAACAGGCGAGTACATAATTAATAGCGCAAATACGATGTCTGATGCCGATCCAAATTTCAGCACCTTGAATGCCGCCGAATCAACTCTCGTACCTCGGAGCCCGGAACGCGCCGTAGAAAGCCTCGTGGAAGCATTAGGGGCTTCCACGAGGCTTTCTACGGCGCGTTCCGGGCTCCGAGGTACGAGAGTTGATTCGGCGGCATTCAAGGTGCTGAAATTTGGATCGGCATCAGACATCGTATTTGCGCTATTAATTATGTACTCGCCTCCGTCTCAGTCCAGCCATTTGCTGCCGCCGCTCACCATAGTCGTTCCGGACCTGTAGCCGGATGTGGAGAGGGGGTCTTCCAACCTATTATTATTATCATTATCTCTATTTAGGAGATTTTCAGCCGCAGGCTGGTTCATCTCCGGGAGCCCCAATTACATAGTTGAGATTTTGGAGAACCCAGAAGGAGTTCTCCTAGAGGTTGGTGGAGCTCCAGAAGGGAGTCCCCTTAGTACAGAGTATTTTTAAACAGAGTTCATTATAGTTCCTGTCTTGGTTCTTAGCGTGGTTGGTCTTCCAACCCAGTCACTATGGCGAGTATCCGCATGGTATTGTTAATGTTCATTCGCTGCCTGATGCTTCCGTGATTTCCAGGGAGAACAGACGTTCGATTGTAAGCCGCAAGCAGGACATCGTGATTTTCTTCCAAAACGCCGGTGGAATGAATTCTGATGTTGACGACTACCGGCTTGCTGTATCGGATCGTTGCTATGATGTGATTGTCCTATGCGAGACGTGGCTCGATTCGCGAACGCTTTCCAGCCAGGTGTTCGGATCCGATTATGAGGTTTTTCGTTGCGATCGGAATCCAAACAACAGCCGAAAACCTACTGGTGGTGGCGTTCTTGTGGCTGTCCGTTCCGGATTGGAGGCGAGAGCAATCGAAAATGAATCGTGGAACAGTGTGGAACAGGTTTGGACAGCCATTAAACTGGGCGATCGCACTAATGTGATGATTGCGTTTAGCGCTAATTTACAGGATACCCTTTGTGGGATTGTTTTGGTTTGAATTTAAAAATTTGATAACCTACCTACTTGAGCACCTACCTACTTATACTAGGTTGCCAAATCACGAATGATCTGGTGGTTTGATCGCAGACAGGCGACTCTGAACCTTTCCAGCGTGGAAGTCTTTCGCTCCTCGAGTGTTTGAAGACCGGCCAGGTGGTGAATCTCAGAATTACGAGTTCACGGTGGACTGTTAAGGATCATTCTGAGGATCTTGTTTTGGATCCTCTGAAGCTTTAAGTGGTGGCACTTAGCACAACTCTCCCAGATTGGCATACCATACTCAATAGCCGGCAGAATGATTTGCTTGTGGACAGCAAGCTTGTTTTTGAGGGACAGGGTGGACTTCCTGTTTATCAGAGGGTAGAGCGACCTGATCAAGATGTTACACTTGGTGGATGTCTTGTCCACATGGGATCGGAATAGCAATTTGCTATCGAGGGTGAGACCAAGGTAGACTACTTCACTCGACCATTCAATGGGAGTGCTATCAAGATGGACTTTTCGAGTGTGGGAACAGAATGGTTTGTGTTTTAGCTGCATTGATACAAATCTTCCAGCTCTTAAAATAGTCGGACAAAACATCCAGGCCTGATTGTAGTTTACTCGCCAGAGCACGGATCACTCGACCCTTATAGATGATGGAGGTGTCATCTGCGAACATTGACAGGATACCACCACCCGGCAGGGGAGGAACGCCTGACGTGAAAATGTTGAATAGGATAGGCCCAAGCAGGCTACCTTGAGGGACCCCTGCATCAACGTTGAACGTATCAGAGGAGACATTGTTCAAGTAGACCTGGAATGATCTGCCCGACAAGTAGTTTTTGATGATCTTCACGAGGTAGATCGGAAAGTTGTATCGATGCAGCTTGTACACTAGACCATCATGCCAGACATTGTCGAACGCCTTCTCGACGTCCAACAATGCCATGGCAGATGTATTGGAAACGGACTTGTTCCGCTTGATGATGTTAGTAACCCGTGCGAGTTGGTGGATGGTAGAGTGGCCTTTCCTAAACCCGAATTGCTCTTTAAGAAAGATGTTATTATCATTTGAAAACACCAGCAGACGGCTGAGTATCAATTTTTCGAATAGCTTCGAGATGGAGGACAAGAGGCTGATGGGGCGATAGCTTTTGGCACTGGTAGGGTCTTTGCCAGGTTTGTGAATTGGAATAACTTTGGCTAACTTCCAGCATGCAGGGAAGTAGCCAAGCATTAAACACTTGTTGAAGACCACTGCAAGATGCTTGAAGAAGTCAACACTAAGTTTTTCAGCTCGAGGTTGACCACTCCATCGACACCAGCGGCCTTCATGTTCTTTGTTGATTTAATCGCTGCTATCACCTCATCAGCCGATATTCTACTTTCGTCAGGGACAACTACGGGGGTGGCAGCGACACTAGCAATTGCCTGTGATACTGCAGGCTCGTGGGGACTCACCATGGCGTGGCCAAGGTTATGTGAATTTACAAAGTGTTGTCCAAGAGCATTGGCCTTTTCAAATGGGGTTATTAGTAAATATGGGTCCGAATTTTGGTTAGGAGAGGAAAGGGGAGGAATGGCCCTCGGCTTATTTTTCAAAATCTTTACCATTTTCCAGAATGGCTTAGCACAATCTGGGAGAGAGCGAATCTTGTTTGCAAAATCGATATTTCTGAGATCCACCATCCTGGCTTGGATGATTTTGCTCAAACGGTTGCAATTGGTCTTCAGATTAGGCAGCCCAGTACGCTGGTACTGCCTACGGATCGTGTTGCGGAGTCTAATGAGGTCTTTAGTAGGCCTGTCAAGGTTCAGAGTGTTACTCACCTGTCTGGATACTGGCACATGTAGCTCCCTGGCCCGGGAAATTGCTTGATCGATGGAGCGCAGACACCGGTCAACATCTTCGGACGATTCCGGTTGGACATCGTAGTCTACAGCGGTGTCGACGCAATGTTGGAACTGACCCCAGTCAACACGATGATAGTTGCGCCGGAAAGCTTCAAATCGATTTACGGAGGATCCCACCTCAGTCACCACCGGGTAGTGGTCCGAGCTGAGTTCCTGATAGGTGATAGGTTGAGCGATGTTATTGCCCATGTTGCTGATGAAGATATCGATGGTAGCGTGAACACCGGACCGACTCAACCGGGTGGGAGTTTCCGGACTCAAGATGTTGTACTGCGCTTCCTGCAGGTCGTTGTTCAGGATGGTGCCGTTTTGATTGCGCCGATTGTTGCCCCAAGCTTGATGTTTGGCGTTCAGGTCGCCAGCGATGATAAAGTT